CTCTTGGGATGCTAGGGGAGTTGGGACTTATTGTGCCAGGGTGCCTCCCCCTCTCTTCTAAGCCCTAGACCCTAAACCCTAAACTCCTAAACTCCTAAACCCTAAACCCTAAACCCTAAACCCTAACCCTAAAGGCTCAACCCTCCCGTCTAAGCTTGCAAGAAGTGACCCTGTGAAGGCCTTGAGACGGCAACAGAAGCAGCAATGGTTTCGTCGCGGCCTTGACATTGCCAGGTTAGGGTTTCAGGTTTTTATTAGGGTTTAGGGTTTGGGTTTCAGGTTTTGTATTTGGGGCTTAGGTTGCCAGTATACCCGTGCAGTCGCAACTCATAGGAGAGAGGATCCTAAACTGGTCTTCCACACATGTTTGCCTCCTGCAAATGGTAAGCCCCGTTCCTGCCAGAATATAGAAGCCTATTTTGGGGGTTCCGTAATACAGTAATAATACTATAAAGGAGCCCCCAAAACCCTATTCTGATTATTAAGGCCCCTACATTACCCGTTAAACGCACAGCAGCATCCTCTTGTTGTTTGCCTAGCAGCTGAGCTTGTAACCGTTTCACCAGTAGCTTTTTTGTGGTGTACGAGCCTATCCGAACATGAACTTATTGGGGGTGTATAGATAATGCAGCCCTCACTTAATTTGTTGGTACATATGACCCCTAAACCCCAAACCCTAAACCTGAGAGGTAAAAGAAGTTTATTGGCCAGGGAACCCAGAAGATCACCTGGCGGGTTCGATACAACTAGTCCTGCCATTCTTCAGGGTTTAGGGTTTAGGGTTTAGGGTTTAGGGTTTAGGGTGAGTCCAAATAGTCATGCCCCTCTTGGGCTTGAGCCACCTCCATCTTGGTCAGAGTGACGTCGTTAGGCAAGGTAAGGACAGCTGACCATGTCATCTTGAACCGCATTGCCGTACATCGACTCATCGAACTCCGATGCATACAACCCCAAAAGGGTGTTCACAGCTCCTCCTTCCTGGGAACGAACCACGTGCACAAGGATGCCAATAAGCATTCTTCCCCATGGCCCGGTGATGGACATGATGGTAGTCCTGGGCTTTCTGCCTCAAGCCTTGCAGTGCCTCCGCAATGGAGTAATTGGAATAGGGTTTTGGGGCCCAGTATACTATAAGACCCCGAACCCTAACGGTTGGGCTCAGTTTAGGAACAGTTCTGTCCAGTTCGGTTGTGCTTATTTCTGCCTGCTGTCTTTGAGGACTTGTGGCCCAGACAATGCAACGGTTCCAGCGCACATGAATGCAACATATCTAATAGGGAAGCCTAAATAGTTACCTATACTATTTTGGGTGTTCCTTTTTGTAACTATAGTATAATGGGCCACAAAACCCTATTCTAATTATTAAGGCCTCTACATTATAGCATGTCAACTTTAGTTAAGTCCGTGAGTAGCGCTGGGGGCTTTGGGTCATAGTGTTTGAAGCCTGGGCTCAAAAGCTCAGATTTTACGGGTTCTGGGATCCAGGTTTCCGTTTCGGCTGTGCGCTAAAACCTAACATAGGAGCCTAAGTAATTACAACTACTATATTTGGGGGTCCCTGAACAATGGTGAAAGTGTAATATACCCACAAACCCTACTCCAAATTATTAAGGCCCCTACATTGTAGGCTTGTCAACTTTAATTAAGTCCTTATTATAACTATAGTGTATCATATACCCACAAACCCTATTCTAATTATTAAGGCCCCGACATCCCTAAACCCTAAACCCTAAACCCTAAACCCCGAAGCTCCAATCCCCAGAAACCTGGAACCGCAAGGAAAGCAACTCTCCTCCATTCAGCAGACGCTGCAGCCTTGGAGGAGGGTTTCTAAGGGGTTCAAGGGGTTTCGGGTGTGTAGCGCAGACTTACGGATACTCTAAGGGTCTGAATGATTCGTAGTATCCCCTTTCTAGTTCCTAAGCTATCATACCAGAATACATCGAACACCATCCCTAAACCCCAAAACCCAAAACCCCAAAACACTAAACCCCAAACCCCTAAACCCCATGTTCGACTTTTCCGACCCCTGCATTACCCTCGTTGTATTTTGGTGCTATCACACTTTGCACTCTGCTTCTACCCGGCCGAGTAGTTCCCCTCACACTTCGGACAGGCCTCGGGTGCATTGGCAGGTGGCTTTCAAGGTTTACCTTAAGAACCCAAAACCTACTTTTTGGTAGGGTCCCTATAAATCCCATATTAGGGTTTATAATAAGAACCTACAAAAAAGTGTCTTTGGGGTTCTTAAGGTAGGTCTAAGGTTAGAAGCATGGGCCCCTAATATGGACGCTTGGGCCTTTCTAGGGGCCCTTAAGGGTACATATAGGGTATATAGTAGGTGTACAAGGATCCCAGGGTTAAGGGCCCATAGTTTCAACCGTAGATTAGGGGCTTAAGGTTGTCGGGTACATGTTGTCGGTTTCAGCCGCAGGTTTTGAGTCCAGGGTTGTCGGGTGCGCGCACGTGCTTCGATATGGTGAACTTCCGAGCTTCAATATAACCCTAAGCCCAAAACCCTAAACTTCACCCTACACCCAATCACTCAGTTGTGGCGTAACGTGCCGCCTTCAGTGAGCTTTATAGACATGGTTTTGGGTTCAATGGTTCATGATGCTGGGATTACGGACATAAGCTTCAAGATCGAGGATTCAGGATAGGCATTTAGGGCTCTAGGGCTTTGTTGTGATTTTGGCTCTACCTGTCTTTGAAATTGGGTTCTCAGGTGTTCAGGCTTCAGCTGTTTGGAGGATCTTAGTCTGAGATGCTTTCCTTAGCAGAATCCAGAAGTCTGTAAGCTCCAAACGGCTCCCTCGGCCCTTGGGGTTTAGGGTTTAGGGTTTGGGGTTTGGGGTTTAGGGTTTAGGGTATGGAGGTGTTTGGGGTTTGACGTTCCGAATGCACCAGTGGGCTCCTTATGAACAGGATCTCTTGATAAGACCCTGAGGGTTAGGATCCTTTCAATAAAATATGAAAGAAGTCCTGGTTGCAAGGGCCCCTTAACTGTAGCAAAGACTCAGGGGGCGTCGGATTCCTCTTGCAAGGACCCCTATAGACCCCCAAACTAAGGGTGGGCATGCAGAAAGAGGGTGGCAACAAGGCCCACGAAGAAGCGGTCCTGCTCTCAGCAAGGGGTTCTTGTATTCTTGTATCGCTTCCGTTCTCCGATAGCCCTAAATCCTGAAACCTAAATCCAAATTCCTAGCCCTCCTTGGGTTTAAAGGTTCGGAAAGATGGTCCTTCCTGTCCTCGGTGTAGGGAGGGGTATACGTTGGTATGGATGTCTTTTGGGGGGAGCCATAGGCGCAAGTTTGGGCCGTTCATGTGACCGCAAGTCCGCAGCAACTTTAGGGTTTAGGGCCCCTAAACCCTAAACCCCAAACCCTGGTTTAGGGTTCAGGGCTGACTGAAGAAAGCACGGTCGGAGCTCCGGAGGAGGCCTGGGAGGAATACCTTCGTCTGCGCGGCAGTAAAGCTAAAACCTCAAAGCAAGCGTTGGACGACTTATGGCCACGGAATGCCTCGAATGGGCGAGCTCTTGAGTTTTAAGCCGAAGCCGCTCTTCAACAGAAGTGATGATTCTGGGCGGCAGTGGCTAGTGCTGCGAAAGACAGCCATCACAAGCCCTGAGCAAAATGACGGCCCGAGCGAGCTCTAGCTGATGCATGGGTTCGCCCAGCATTAAAAAAGGACAACAGCTGCGTTTTGATCCCCTTAGCCAACATGTGGTCGTAACCCCAACCCAATGCCGTCAAACACGAAACCCAAATTCCCTGACCCTAGAGCCTATGACACCTCAACCCTACTGCCCTGGAGCCACATAATCCGAAACCCTAGCACCCTATTTTTTGCGAAGCTTATGCACCCTCATCACACGCTCAGACCAAGACACCTTCAGCCCAAGCATCCCGAGACTTTAAGACCCTATATGGGAGCTTCCGAAAATAAGGGGTACCTTATTTTGGGGGGTCCTTATAGTAAGGGTCCTACTATTAAGGGTACTATATTAGGGTCCCCTATTTTCGGAAACCCCCATATAAAGCCCTACACCGCACAAGCCTTATAGCACCTTAAACCCCCCACACACACACACACAAACCCCCTTTTGAATGCCTTTACACACGACTAAAGCCCGTTGAAGAAGCAGCCATCAGGTGCTAAACCCTAAACCCTAAACCCGTTAAAACGGGCAGCCACCAGGTGAAGGAGCCCTAAACCCTACACCCTAAACCCTAAAAGCCCGTTAAAACGCGCAGCCACCAGGTGAAGGAGCCCTAAACCCTAAACCCTAAAAAACCCGTTAAAACGGGCAGCCACCAGGTGAAGGAGCCCTAAACCCTAAACCCTAAAAGCCCGCTAAAACGGACAGCCACCAGGTGAAGGAGCCCTAAACCCTAAACCCTAACCCCTAAACCCCAGGTGAAGGAGGCCAAGCACGAGGAACTTCAGGCTCGCTCCAAGGAGATGAAACGCCGCCGGGGACCCCAGGCAGAGGCTTGAAAATATGGGTAGTTCTCTAAATTAGGGTCCCTTTTGGGGTTGAGGGTTTAGGGTTTAGGGTAGTTGTCTAAATTAGGGTCTCTCTGTGGGGTCCTTTTTATAAGGGTGGCGTACTTATTTATGGGTTCAAGGCTTTGGGGTGTTTGGGAGGGCTGTGTAGGGCTTTGGGCTTAGGATTTTACGGTGCGCAGCTTTGGGTTTAAGCTCCAGGGTTTCGGGTGACGTGCTAGTCCTTTAGGATTGAGTTTGGGTTTAGGGTTTACGGAGAGGCCACAATGTCTCCTTCAATTAATATGTAGCTGGTTTGTGTCGTTGTTGTTCACTTTTACGTGCCCCCCATTGCATGTGGAGGTGTGCCACAAAGCCAGCTATCGTGATTCAAAAAGAAGTCAAGCCGACATGCTGAACCGCGAACCATAAATCCGAAGCCATCCCGAAATCCGAATAAGACTCTAAACCCGACACCATCCCCAGAACCCGAAAAAAGTCGAAATCCTTGCCGAGCCAAGGCCTCGAATGGCAGGCTGAGGTGGAGAAGATCCATCTTCCCGATGCTTCCGTGACTCGCTTGCAGAGTCTAGGACATTTTCAGGTGGGTAGTTACCATTATAGGAGCGTTATAGAAGGTCTATATACCTTATAGGAGCCTTCTAGAAGCACTATATACCCTAAACTCCCCACCTGTAGTTTCCTTTAACAGAGAGGGCTTCAAGGTTTGACTGGTGCTTTCCGTTGTTTCCTGACCTTCGCCCTCCCACGAGCCCTTTTCCACGCATCTTCTAGAGCATTAGCCCGCCACTATATGGGTGGTGTCAAAACTATGGTCCCTTTTTGGGTCCTTATTATAATACGTCACCTATTATTTAGGGTACCCAAAAGGGACTATAATTTTGACAACTACCCATATGTTTTACCGCGAGGGCTGTGTAAGACGGGGGAGGGGCCCTTCATTTTCTTGAACAGGGACTCCCTGCTGTAACGAAGATTGGCCCTAGAACAGATGTTGTTTTCTTGAAACTTCCATTTCCAGAGCGACACGCAGATTGAGAGTTTGGGGGCTTTCAGAATAATCGGTGACATATTTCCTCGATGTAGAAACGGCTGAGGGTTTCGGGCTCCGTTTGTTGAAGAGTGGAATGCTTCAGGTCATAAACTGGGGGTTTTTGAGATGGTCGGTCCATGGTCGTGGGGACTACTACACGGGCATAACTGGTCCTACACACGTCTTATACTACATATACCAAACTTATACTGATACGCAGCCTGCATTAAGTCTTATATTGCTAGTACGACGAAAATGACCGTTTTGACCGCCATTGCAGCAGTATTCAAACTGTGAATACCTTTGGCAATAAGACTATAAAAAAAAAACATTAGTCTAACTAACTCTACGTCCCTAAAGCCCCTCGACCCAAACCCCCAGGTGGACCTGGATGTTGGTGTGTCTGTCAGCCTGGCCTGACGAATCCGCCGTTCCTCTGTCTGAGTTTGGGCTTCGTGTTGTGCTTTTGGACTTCGGTGCCTAATTTAGGATTTGGGGTGCTGCGAGCAATTCAGAACAGAAGTCAGGTTTATTGCCAGGGAAGTCTAGGTCCAGGCCTAGGCTCTTTTGCCGAGTGGATTTCTTCGACGCCTGTTTGCCTTCCGATTCCAATTTCGGAGGCTATCATACGTTGACTCCCAGCAGCGCCTCTTTGCGATTTCTCGCACGAACAGCCCAAGCTCGGTCCTTCTACATCGTACTTGGTGGAGACTGCTCCTGGAACACAGCACTGCGGGTTTGCCCTTCAATGTTGCAAATATGGAGGAGGAACCAGCAGGCTCGGATTCTTCGCGACTTCGGACGAGATTTCTCCAGCACTTCTCCACAGCTGCAAGGAAGGAGAAAGGATACTTGCACCTGCAGAACGGAAGGAAAAGCTTGCCAGCAGATCTGCAGCGTCTCTTCCATCCGCGATGCCTCCAGCGACTTCAATGCCGCTAATTCTTCCTGCCCAAGACCACGGTTGCGTCGCATGAGTCGGTGGATGAAGAGGAGAATGTGAGCAAACCTGTTCTAGTTGATTAAATGCCTGTGCAGCCTGTATATACTTGTGATGATTTCCTTCGCCACTCGGGCAGGCCGGTACATATCTTGGGTGCTACGGGATCTATTTGAAAGTCGATGTTCTGAAGCACTTGATACCCAGCCGGACCTCACTCCCGGGCTCAACTTGCTCTTGTCAGAAGTCGAACGGCCGAAATTGATGGGGCCAGTCCTTTTTTGTTAACTTTACCCCTTGGTTTTCCGTCATTATTCTACAGTCTCTGGAGCCCAGTAGACCCTAAACCCTCAACCGTCCAGCAAAATCTGGTCTGGCCACCAGCTCCGAGCAAGAGCTCCTTGAAGTTTCACCGAAGCTCCCTAATTCTTAGGAGCCCAGTAGGTAAACTTTAAACTTTTTGGTATATTAAACCCCCTACTAAAAGAAAAGTTTAAACTTTTTTGGGCCAGGGTACTGGGCTTCAAGGAATTCATTACTTCTACAGGAACGGCGGTGTGTAAAGAGATGAGTTTCTTCTGGCATCAACATTTTATAGGCAAGGGAGTTGTTTAAGTTTGGGAACCATGCAGAAGGTGCCACCAATCCCGTCGGGCGACAGATCCTCCTAGAGATTTAGGGTTTTAAGTAAGGTTTGGGGATTAGCATGGTTTAGGATGAAGGGTGTAGAAAGGGTTGTGGGTTTGTGGTTGTAGAATTTGGGCCTTGGGCACTGCGGGGCATCATTTTAGGAATCGGCCTCGACCCATCGCAGCGAACACATCAAGCCTGCAGGGGTGACTGTCATCTTTGTGGCTGAGTGGGCGCTCCACTGGTGTTGGCATGATACCCGAAACCCTACATCCTAAACCGATCGGGGTCTAGGGTTCAGGGGCTTAGAGCTCCATGCTCTATGAAGTACGTTGTTGAAGGGCACTGACTAAACTACTAAGCAGTTTGATAGGAAGGCATCTGCATCAACCCTGCAGGATACCTGGCGAAGATGCAAGCTAACGCCTTGAACTCCGAACCAAATCAATCAGCATAGGCTCAGGTTCGTCAGTTGCAACCAGACGTCTTAAGCCCAAATCCGCTTGGCTTCCGGGCGTTCGTACCTGGAGGCTGCGCCCAAAAAGCAGGAATTCATCATTCGTAGGACATGAGCGTTCTTCAAATTAGGGCTTCCTTCCAACCCGCATATTTATACATGGATGCAGCGATTTGACCCTTTGTGCTGCATTCTGCAGGGCCTATAGAGCCCAACCCCGAAGCCCTGAACAACTTAAGCTGCATCCCCAAACCCTACATGCCCTACATAAACCCCGAAGCCAGGTCCTGGCGCAGGGCCACAGCCAATCCAAAAGCACAGGCGATAAACAGCAGCCCGACCAAATCGCTCATCGCCGCAGGCACTTCTCTTTCAGAAGACGCTGTGGCTCGAAAAGCCCTAAGCTTGAATTTTTAAGTCGACCCCCCTACAAGTACCAAAGGCAAAGCAGCGCAACAGCTACCCACTACTCCACCTCTTAGGTATAAGACGTAGCCCTAAACCCCTAAAATCTAAACCCTAAACCTCAAATCCTTGAACCTTAAAACCCTAAAACCCTGAGCCCCAACCGCAAGACACTCAAACCCCCAAGCCGGGTTCCTATAAACCCTAGAGCCCCGGATCCGAAGACCCTAAACTCCCGGGTCTAAAACAGGGGAGACTATTTTGGGTTTAGGGTTTAGGGTTTAGGGTTTAGGGTTTAGGGTTTAGGGTTTAGGGTTTAGGGTGGGGGGTTCTCTTTTATAGTCATCGTATACCGGGCCCCAAAACCCTGTTCGAACTATGAAGGTCCCTACATTAAACCCCAAACCCTAAAACCCTAACACCCTAAAAACCCTCAACCCTCAACCCTAAAACCCTAAACCCTAAACTTCCCTAAAACCCTAAAGCCCTAAAACCCTAAACTTCCCTAAAACCCTAAAACCCTAAGCCCGAAAACCCTACAAGCCCTAAACCCTAGACAGCACGAGATCCGAGATCCTGAGACCCTAAACTCCCGGGTCTAGAGCAGCCTCATAAACAGGACCCTTAAAAAGGGGACCCCAATTAAGAGAATTACCCTAAACCCTAAACCCCTAAACCCCTAAACCCTAAACCCTAAAACCTAAAACCTAAACCATGGTTTTCTTCAATGCGACCCATGTCGACGATGGTGGACCTCAGGCCGGCCCTTCCCTGCGGATTTAGGGGTTTTAGGGTTCAGGGCTTTAGGGAAATTTCGGGTTTTAGGGTTTAGGGTTTAGGGTTCAGGGCTTTAGGGATATTTCGGGTTTTAGGGTTTAGGGCTTTAGGGAAATTTCGGGTTTTAGGGTTTAGGGTTTAGGGTTCAGGGCTTTAGGGAAATTTAGGGTTTTAGGGATTAGGGTTTAGGGTTTTAGGGAAATTTAGGGTTTTAGGGTTTTAGGGTTTAGGGTTTTAGGGAAGTTTAGGCTTTAGGGTTTTAGGGTTTAGGGGTTTTAGGGTTTAGGGTTTTAGGGTTTTAGGGTTAGGGTTTAGGGTTTAGGGTTTTGGGGCCCGTTATACTATAATTGTGGTAAGGAACCCCCAAAATAGTATAGGTAATTAAAAAGGCCCCTATAGTAAGGTTCAGGGTCTCAGATTTGGATTTAGGGAGTTTCAATTGGCTATGGACTTGGGGTTTAGGTCCGGGCACTCAGTGAGTCGAATCTATCGAGCGTTCTCGGTGCTCTTCTAACTTATTAGCATTATCCCATAATCATAAGGAGGAACCCCAGAATAGTATAAGTAGTTTTTAAGGCCCCTTCTAACTTATTAGCATTCTCCTACTTATGCCTCTGCTTACAATCGACACTCTGAGCATGTCTTTGAAGTTCAGGGTTGGGGCTTTTGGCGGGTTTTCGGATTTGGGCCGTTTGTGTTGTCGTGTTGTTGGTTGGCTTACTGTAAGGTGTAAGTTTAGTTTAGGGCTGAGAGGTTTAGGTTGCTTCAGGTTTTGAGTTTGTAAGCTTCAGGGTGTAGAGTGTCGAATGTAATCAACATTGAAGCTTTTGGGGTCATGAGCGTAGTGGGACTTAGCAATCAGCAATGGTAGCCTTATACCTCCCAAGTAGCTATAGAATCTGTATACCATACCCCCAATCCAAGGTTCGCCACCTCCTGCCCTTTTGGGTTTGGGATACTTAGGAAAAAGGCACATTACCTGTTTCGTCAAAGGGCTTCTGGGAAGCCTACCCTACATTGAATACCCCAAGCCCTAAATCCTTTTCCCCTAAACCCTAAACCCTAAACCCCAAACCCCAAACCCTTTTCCCGTGTTGCAGGAAGCGCCTGCCAACTGGGTTATTGGTGCGCTTTCTGGCCAACATTACCGGGCTGGGGAGGGTTTGAGGACCACGTAGTATATTGACCTTAATAAATAATTACCTTTACTATTTTGGTGGTTCCTTATTATGATTAAACTATAAAGGACCCCAAACCCTATTCTAATCATTAAGGCCCCTACGTTAAACTAACCCTAAACCCTAAACCCTAAACCCTGAACCCTAAACCCTAAACCCTAAACTCTAAACCGTAAACCGTCGGGTTTAGGGTTTACCTGTGGCCGAACAGACCTTCCTTAAAAAGGAAGGTCTTTTCGGCTACGGATAGGGTTTGGGGTACCCGTAGCTCCCTTGTATATTCAGCTACCTGCAAGGATTTAGGGTTTAGGGGTTTAGGGGTTTAGGGTTTAGGGTTTAGGGAGTTCTTGTTAGTGTTTTGGAGGGTCAAATCTTGACAGGTGCAGAGTTTAGAGAGTGCAGCGATTCGATTGACGGCTCGGTACCTGCACCGCTAAATGCTGAGCCGCAATCCCTCAAACCGCAACCCCTGAATCCAGGTTCAGGGACCGTAAGCGTTGATATACCCCAAGCCGCTATTTCGACAATGCAAAGGCCCCTATAGGGTTTCACGTCCTCCCGGGGGCTCAACCCTATAAACCCTCAACCCCTAAACCCCGAAACCCCTAAACCCCAAACCCTAACCCTTAAACCCCAAACCCCAAACCCTAAACCCTAAACCCCTAAACCCTAAACCCCATGCCCTAACCCCTAAACCCTAAACCCCAAACCCTAAACCCTAAACCCCTAAACTCTAAACCCCAAGCCCTAACCCCTAAACCCTAAACCCCTAAACCCTAAACCCCAAACCCTAAAGGGATCCTCGGCATTTCTTTGTGGCGAACTTTATGTTAAGAAAACTACATTCCTTCATCAGAGTCTCAGATATTTCTTAATCGGTGCGCTCCTCTAAGAAATTCAAGGATTCTGCCAGACTCTCAGCGCATTTCTTATTCAGCCTAGGGGGATT